GAGGGAAATGGGGACAAGAGGGAGGGAAGGACATTGTGGGGAGGGGAAAATTGGGAAGGGGAGGGGAAAATTTGGAACAGGAGGGAGGGAGGGACGTTGTGAAGAGAGGGAAAATGGGGACAGGAGGGACATTGTAAGGAGAGGTAAAATGAGGCTGGGGGGGACATTTTGGCGAGAGGAAAATTGGGGACAAGAGGGACATTCCAGGGAGTTTTCCCCGCCTGAGGCGGGGCACAGCTCGGTGCAGGGACGGCTGGGGCCGTGCCACACTTGGCTGGCACAGAACCACGTTCATCCCTTTCCCCACATTTCTCCTTTTTCTCCTTTTCCTCCCCATTTCTCCCTTTTCCCCACATTTCTCCTTTTTCTCCCCATTTCTATTTCCCCCACACCTGCCCGTTCTCATTGGGATTTTTCCCATTGGGACCCCCCCCCCCCGCCCTTTCCCCCTATGGGTGCATTTGACCCCAAATTTTCCTTCCAGCCCCCGAAATCCTGCACGGGTGTCCCTACGGACCTGAGGTGGACATGTGGAGTGTGGGGGTCATCACCTACATCCTGTGAGTGTCACACACAGCCAGGGGACACGCAGGCTTCGTCCCCTCGGGGGCAGTGCCAGGGGGTGGCAGTGCCAGGGGGTGGCAGATGTGTCCCACCATGGGTTTGTCCCCGTGGTGGCAGTGCCAGGGGGTGGCAGGTTTGGTGACAGTGCCATGGTGGTGGCACGGTTTGTCCAGCCATGGGTTTGTCCTCTCGGTGACGGTGCCATGAGGTGGCAGGTTTGGTGGCAGGGATGGTGACAGTGCCAGGGGGTGGCAGGGTTTGTCCCACTGTGGGTTTGTCCCCTTGGTGGCAGTGCCAGGGGGTGGCAGGGTTGGTGGCAGGGTTGGTGGCAGGGATAGTGGCAGTGCCATGGTGGTGGGCAGTGTTTGTCCCGCCATGGGTTTGTCCCCTTGGTGGCAGTGCCAGGGGTGGCAGTGCCAGGGGTGGCAGTGCCAGGGGGTGGCAGTGCCAGGGGGTGGCAGGGTTTGCTCTGTCATGGGATTGTCCCCGGGGCAGCAGTGCCGTGAGGTGGCAGGGTTGGTGGCAGTGGCAGTGCCAGGGGCGTGGCAGGTGTGTCCCACCATGGATTTATCCCCTCTGACAGTGCCAGGGGGTGGCAGGGTTGGCAGCAGGGCTGGTGGCAGTGCCAGGGGGTGGCAGTGTTTGTCCCGCCATGGGTTTGTCCCCTTGGTGGCAGTGCCAGGGGGTGGCAGGGTTGGTGGGAGGGTTGGTGGCAGTGCCATAGTGGTGGCAGGGTTTGTCCCACCATGTGTTTATCCCCTTGGTGGCACTGCCAGGGGGTGGCAGGGTTTGTCCTGTCATGGGTTTGTCCCCTTGGTGGCAGTGCCATGATGGTGACAGGGTTGGTGGCAGGGTTGGTGGCAGTGCCATGGTGGTGACAGGGTTGGTGACAGGGTTGGTGACAGGGTTGGTGGCAGTGCCATGGTGGTGGCAGGGTTGGTGGCAGGGTTGGTGACAGGGTTGGTGTCAGGGTTGGTGGCAGGGTTGGTGGCAGGGTTGGTGGCAGTGCCAGGGGTGTCAGGGTTGGTGACAGGGTTGGTGGCAGGGTTGGTGCCATGGTGGTGGCAGGGTTGGTGACAGGGTTGGTGGCAGGGTTGGTGACAGTGCCATGGTGGTGGCAGGGTTGGTGGCAGGGTTGGTGTCAGGGTTGGTGGCAGTGCCATGGTGGTGACAGGGTTGGTGGCAGGTCTGGTGGCAGTGCCAGGGGTGTCAGGGTTTGTCCCACTCTTGTCCCCTCGCTGGCAGTGCCAGCGGTGCCAGCTGTGTCCCACCGTGTCGCTGTCCCCAGGCTCTGTGGCTTCGAGCCCTTCTTTGACCCGCGGGGGGATCAGTTCATGTACGGCCGCATCCTCAGCTGCGACTACGAGTTCGTGTCCCCCTGGTGGGACGAGGTGTCCCCGAACGCCAAGGACCTGGTGAGAGGGGCGGGGCTGGCACCTTCTTCATGTTATTTTGTTTTGTTTTATTTTATTTTATTTTATTTTATTTTATTTTATTTTATTTTATTTTTCTTTATTTTTCTTTATTTTTATTTTTCTTAATTTTATTTTTCTTTATTTTTTATTTTTATTTTTACTTTTTTATTTTTATTTAATTTAGTTTTATTTCATTTCATTTCACTTTTTAACTTTATTTTGATTTTTTTTTACTTTATGTTATTTTATTTTATTTTAGTTTTATTTAATTCTACTTTTTTCTCTTTTCTTTTCTTTTCTTTTCTTTTTCTATTTTTTATTTTTACTTTCACTTTTATTTTATTTTAATTTTTTTTAATTTTTATTTTTACTTTTTTATTTTTATTTAATTTAGTTTCATTTCATTTCATTTTTTATGTTATTTTGCTTTACTTTTTTTACTTTATTTCATTTTACTTTATTTTAGTTTTCTTTTCTTTTCTTTTCTTTTCTTTTCTTTTCTTTTTCTATTTTTTATTTTTACTTTCACTTTTATTTTATTTTAATTTTTATTTTTACATTTATTTTTATTTTTACTTTTTCTTTTTATTTTTATTTTTACTTTTTCTTTTTATTTTTACTTCTACTTTTATTTTTACATTTATTTTTACTTAATTTAGTTTCGTTTCATTTTTTTACTTTATTTTGCTTATTTTTAACTTTATTTTAGTTTTATTTAATTCTTTTTTTCTTTTCTTCCCTTGCCTTCCCTTTTCCCTTACTAGATTTGTATTTATTTATTCAGTTTAAATTATTTCTTGCATACGTTTATTATTTCTTTGATGATTTCATTTTTATCCCTTCATTTATTAATTTCTTTAATTCTGTTCCTGTCACTTTTTATTTATTTATTTATGATTTCATGCTTATCTATTTATTACAAATTTTCATTGTTTTTATTTATCACTATTTTCATTATTGATTTTGCTTATTTTATGATTTTATTTTTACCTATTTATTGCACTTATTTCCTTTTATTTATTAACCACATATTTTCATTTCTTATTTCATGCATTTCATTTTTTCCGTGTATTTGCTACACATATTTATTGATTAAATTTATTTATCACACATTTCTATTATTTCATTTATTTCATTATTTATTTACTATTATGTACCCTTGATTTCTTTGATTTCTTTTATTTATTCCTTATTTTCAAGACTGAGTTTACAATTTATTATATATTATTTATTATCATTGATTTATAATCAATATACCTGATATAATGATTATAATTCCTTCCTATTTTACCGTGAGCTACTTGATTTTACAATTAATTTTACTTCTTTTTCTATTTATTCCTCACTTTCATGGTTGATTTTGCGATTAATTTTACTTATTTTTAATTCCTTATTTTATATTTATTACATTTATTATATTTTTTTTATATTTATATCATCTATAATAGCTATATTAAAATATTATACAGTATAATATTATTATAATATATAAATATATATTTATATATTATAGATAAAACTTTCTATTACATTAAATATATTATTTATTATATTTATTCCTTATATATTTATTATTGATTTTATGATACACTATATACTATATATTTATTATAATTCTTTCTTATTTTACCATGAGTGACTTAATTTTAGGCTTAATTTTAATTCTTTATTTATTCCTTATTATTACCTTTATTATATTTGTATCTTTATTATATTAAATAGAATAGATTAGAATATTCATTACATATAAAATATATAATAATATTATTATATAATAATATACAATATGATACTATATAGTATATATAATATACTATACTATACTATACTATATATTATATTATATTATATTATATTATATTATATTATATCACATTATATTATAATATAATATATTGCATTACATTATATTATATTATCTATTCTATATAATTATATATTAATATTATATATTATAAATATAGAAAAATGTATAAATTGTACATTATTATATATTATATATT